GACAACAATATTGGTAAAGAATTCCTTCAGTTACTTTCCCTGTATATCTAACCTTTTTGTTATTCATGTCATTTGTTTATCTCTGACAGACTCTATCAAATGTGAACAATGCTCCCAAGACTACTGGTCAAATTCAAAAAGGAATGAATGTGTAAAGAAGGATATTGAATTCTTGTCGTATGAGGAAACGATGGGAATTTTGCTAACAGCTGTTTCAATTATTGGTGCCTTTATGACAATAATAATAGCAATTATATTCTTCAGACATAAAAATACCCCAATAGTAAAAGCCAACAATTCAGAGCTGAGTTTCTTGTTGCTCTTCTCTCTGGCTCTGTGTTTCCTCTGTTCACTTACTTTCATTGGTCGGCCCTCTGAGTGGTCCTGTGTGCTGCGTCACACAGCGTTTGGGATCACCTTCGTCCTCTGTATCTCCTGTGTTCTGGGGAAAACAATAGTGGTGTTAATGGCCTTCAGGGTTACACTTCCAGGCAGTAATGTCATGAAATGGTTTGGGCCTCCACAGCAGAGACTCAGTGTTCTTGCTTTTACCCTCATACAGGTCCTAATATGTGTACTTTGGTTAACAACATCCCCTCCTTTCCCCTTTAAAAATCTAAAGCACTACAAGGAAAAGATCATTCTAGAATGTCAGTTAGGTTCAGTATTAGGCTTCTGGGCTGTGCTGGGTTATATAGGACTGTTGGCTCTACTGTGTTTTGTTTTAGCTTTTTTAGCTCGGAAGCTGCCTGATAAGTTTAATGAAGCCAAGTTCATCACATTCAGCATGCTCATATTCTGTGCAGTTTGGATCACCTTCATCCCAGCTTATGTCAGCTCTCCTGGAAAGTTCACTGTAGCTGTGGAGATATTTGCTATTTTGGCCTCAAGCTTTGGTTTGCTATTCTGTATCTTTCTCCCAAAGTGCTACATAATCATACTGAAACCAGCAAAGAACACTAAAAAACAAATTATGGGTAAAGTGCCAGTTAAGTGAGCTGCACGTTTACTATTAATATGGCTTTATATAAAGCATATGACGTTTACAACTATAATCTTAACTTAATTACAACTTAATCTTAATTCTTTATAACATTTTAAAACAAATTCTAACAGAAGATTACCATAGATTTTTTAAAAATTTCTGTATAATTCAATTTTTAAGATGTAAACAAAATCAATACATGCAGTTTGATGTGAACATTTTAGATAAATTACTTTTTTTAATAATGATGGTCATAGCAACCATGGTTCACAATGTCTACAATACAAATATAACTTCTATAATAAAGCACAAGGAGGTGATACATATTAAATGTATTTAATGACTAAGCCCAAATAAAATTTACTTTTTACAGTATGCATATTTTGTACACTTATTCTTTTAAAAAAGTTTCTAAAACATTTGACTTTGGCTTATTTAACTGACTTTTGATTGTCAAAAGAATTTGGAAGTAAGATAAAATGTTTAAATATTATGTATTTGGTTCTGTTCAAAAAAGCTATAACAAACAAATTAACAAAAAATATATAAATAAATAAATACATTTTCCGATCACCTATCCTTCTTTGTCATTGAAACTCATAATGAATATCAATACTTTTTAGTGTATCGAAGTTGGAAATTTTAGTCTAGTGACAACACGCTTTGTACGTTGGGAATACTTTGTCAAGACCAAGCACTAGAGTTTAAGAACCTTTTATCCTCTCTTCAAGCTTATTTTTAAAGCAGTACAAAGCTGAGTGCTAGCTCGTGGCAAGAAAAAAGGCTGTTGGGGGATCAAGCTCGTCAAGAACGATGCTTCAACTTGTCTGACTGCAAAATGGCACTGGTAGGACTGATCTTAGCCGGTAGCAATGCTGTATAGTAATTTGACATGGTTATATGTATATTTCTTAAGTTTATCAACCTGTTGGTCTAGCAAATAGGTATGACATAATTATAATTATAAATATAGCCATGAGTGGCTGTTAATGGGGGTTCAAATATAATGAGGCCAATGAGTCTAATCTATGTGTCCTTTGCAGACAGAAATGGACAGTAAAAATTCTCAAATAGGCCTCCATTTTTCATAATTGCCAATAAGAGCTCTTCAAACTTGTCTTTAAATTTTTGTTCTCATCAGCACTCATGTTCATAAAAGATATTTCAGGAGCCAAGAAGTTAACACTTTATTTGGATGGTTCACTGTAAGATGCTTTGTAAAAGCTCAGTATATCGTTAAGTAAAATTCAACTAAATATCTGTTAAATGCAACTGAACTTTAAGTTGAGTGTTATTTGGATGGTCCACTGTAGATGTTTTGTAAATGCTCAGTCTGTTTATAAGTAACATTCAACTAAATCTCTATATCAGTGTGAAAGAGTTTATTAAATCTATCCCTACTCCTAACCCTAACCCTAACCTCAAGGCTACACTTACACCTACTCCTAACCTTAACCCTAACCACAATGTTGTTAATAATCAACTGAACATCACCAGAAAGTTTGTTAATGATTTAAGTATCTGTACAGCATCTGTAGGGGATCATCCAAATAAAGTGTGACCGCCAAGAATATCTAGTTGCTTTAAATGCATTTGCGCATCCATTCAGTCTACTGAATGTATTCATCTGCTCTGTGGATTTTTATGTGCTCCTGCAGGCATTACTGATAGCTGGAGGTAGATAGGTAGCAAAAAATCTAAATATATGACAAATAGTTTAATTTCTATTATGAATTGTATTTGCGAAGTTGGACCATTTGATAATCTCTAGTTTATATAAAATTTGATATGGTGCATATGCTTTCTGAATTTATGTGTCTGAAAATTTTTAAAACAAGAAGTTGCTAATGGAAACTGTGGTTTGCACTCTTACACAGATGAATCATACAAAGATTTTCAAGTGTTATAAAAGGACTCACATGCATCAAAATTGGTGGGCTGGTTTTAAATTTTGTTTTTTTGTTAATATACAAAGTTTTGTGAAAATTGGACAAAGCAATCAAAAGTTTTGGGCAGGTAACAGTTATATTGGCTAGAAATGTTAACATGTTGCTAAAGATTGTTAAAAAAAAACAACTTTTTCTGAATATTTGCACACAAACTTCTTAAATTGTTTTCTAATTGTAAAAGTAGTTTGTAAAAGAAGTTTTCTTAATCAGCATTTCAGCACCTCCAAGAGGGCAAATCTGTCATGCTATGTCAGAGTGTAATCATGATCAATTGCATCAAGTTTGGTCACAATCAGAAAATGCTTATAAAAACAGCTGGCTCAAACTCAATTTTACCCAGATGGATTGAAAAAAACTCCACCTACGATGCTAGACATATTGCTGCGCAAACGGGTAAAAAGTCAACATTTTGCATCAAGACCTATTTTGAGATTACTGGAAGAATCCTATGACTTCTGGCCAATGAGGAAACATTATGCACTTTTTGAAAACACATGTAATTGCAAAGTTTTTAGGGACTGTGCAGTGCAAAACATGGATCAAGTTTCATGGTTATAAGTGCAGAGTAAGATATGCTTGATTTTAATGTTGAAAACACCAGTAGTGTCCCCCAGTGGCCAACTATTATGAAACATCATAGGGATAAGGGTAGAATGTGCCTACACAGACACAACATTCAAGTTTGTGATGACCAGCCAATGTTAAGCCCATCAAACACCTGCTGAATACTGATCAGCTCAAGTCAAGTCAAAGTTTATTTATATAGCGCTTTTTACAACAAGTGTTGTCACAAAGCAGCTTTACAGAAAGATCCGGGTCTAAGCCCCATGAGCAGGCTAATGGCGACAGTGGCAAGGAAAAAGTCCCTGAGAGCAAGAGGAAGAAACTTTGAGAGGAAACAAGACTCAAAAGGGGAACCCATCCTCTTCTGGTCGACACCGGGTAGCAAACAGCATTAGAATAAAATATTAGAATACAAAACAGGGAAAAACAGGCAGAGCAATGATCAATTAGTTAGTTTGAGTTTATGCAACAACAGCAGCATCAGGAGGGTCAGTTCATGCAGGTGAGGTTTGCACAGCGTTGTACAGCGTGAAGCTCAATGGTGGTCAAAACAGTCCAGAAGGCTGATGGCAGTCACAATTTAACATATCAGTCCATAATTTCCCACTCATAATCAAGCTCAATGATACAACAGGCCACATTTCAGCTTGATAGGACATGGGGATGCTGAGATACTGCTTCTTAGCTTTTATAATGGCCCCATTAACAATAAAGTGCCAAAATCGACAAGCTGTCTTAGAATCATAACATTAACTGGCCTGTTTTGTTTCTTCAATATCAGACAAAGCATTCATTATTTGCAACTGTTTTAACTAAAATATAGATGAAATTGGATATATAAATTTGCATATAGCAGCCATTTCATTCTGAAATGTCAACAGGCTCTTATGAATGGTTCAACACTGGGTTTGTGAAAATCAGAAAAAAAAAAAAAATGAAATAGTTTGCAAATGTAGGTTTTACATGACATGCCAATTAGCAAACAGAGCTTAACAGTCTATGCAAATTAGTTTTGTTTCAGCCAAGGAATAAACCAAAAAAAGATATATAGTTGTTGTTCGGTATAGGAAATAGAAGGCTAAAGGCATCGATGTGGGCTGTAGTGACTCATTGAGGCCGATCCGGCTCTCGTCAACCTCCTAAATATCGTGAGGGAAAAATACAAGTTCATCAAATTTCATGTCACTACGACTAACAGATTCCTCTGGCTGATTTGTTTTAGAAATAAGAAAAAAAAAACTCAGCACTATGTAAATAATACACACAGATTATAAAAGTATCAACTTTCAAAAATAATGCACTTACAGAAAAAGCAAAAAAATAAGTTTTTATAAAACAAAAATGAAAAAAAAGAAACAAAAAAGCACCCAAAACAAAACAAAGGTAAAACAGGTAAAAGAGATTTTGAGGCCTTATTCATTCAGATCAGCGCTGCTCATATTTGATAGTCACACCTCCTTTGACTGTGGCCCAACAGCACAATATTAGCATAGAGGATTTGCATTTCTATCTGTATAAATATCACAAGTTATTTCTGTCCAACCAGCTGAAACATCAGACCCTGCATATACTTACAATATCTCTGTTCAATAGTTGAATGGGTGGATGGAGTCTAACTTTGCAGTTTTGCATGTGATATTGGTCATTATAAATTTTTCAAGCACAAATGGGACTTTCTGTGGTCTGCGAGGAGAGCCTGCATACCCACAACTTTCAAAGGATGGTGATATCATAGTTGGAGGGATTTTCCCCTTTCACAGAACTTGGGAAATGTCAGACATGTCCTATACAGTCAGGCCATCACCGCTTAAGTGTGTGAGGTGAGTTGCAAGACAAACTGAGATTTTTGTACTTTAAACAAATATGTATTATTTTACACTGTCATATTACACTGTAATAATCCAAAAATGTCTGTGTATGTCTGTTTTTTTTCTAAATCAAGTCTTGATTTCAGACCTTTCCAGTTTTCACAGTCCTTGATTTTTGCAATAGAAGAGATCAACAACAGTTCCTCTTTACTCCCTGGAGTCTCACTGGGCTACAAGATCTATGACACATGCAGTTCCACAGCGATGGGAGTTCGAATGGCTATGGCACTTGTTAATGGAAATGACAACTCAAAATTGGATGAGCCCTGCACAAAGCCAGCCCAGGCACAAGCCATAATTGGTGAGTCATATTCATCGGTGTCAACAGCTAGCGCAAACAGTGTTGGATCTTTCAGCATTCCCTTGGTAAGCATTTAAGCATTTTTTTCAGTATTATAATTGTGTGAAATAATTCCTGAGGTTACTTTTACTATTAAATGCACTTAATATGAGGCTTTAAAAATAAGACTGAAAATAACTCAATACATACCCATATGAATCTGTTTTTAGATCAGTCACTCTTCAACCTGTGAGTGTCTCAGTGACAAAACAAAATATCCATCATTTCTGCGCACTATTCCCAGTGATTACTACCAGAGCAGAGCACTGGCACATTTGGTCAAGTATTTTGGCTGGACCTGGGTGGGTGCAATCAGAAGAGATGATGACTATGGTAACAGTGGGATGGCTGCATTTACTGAAGCTGCACAACAGCTGGGCATTTGTCTAGAATATTCCCTTCCATTTTTTAGAACCTACTCACAAGAAAAAGTGCTGAGAATAATCCAGCAGATCAAAAGCTCTACTTCTCGAGTGATTGTGGCATTTGTCGCTTATTGGGACTTCGAGATTTTGCTGAATGTATTTTATGAACACAACATTACTGGATACCAGTGGGTGGGAACTCAAGGTTGGATCTCTGATTCAACTGTAGCCAGAATGGATGAGCACAAAATACTGCAAGGAGCCATAGGACTGGCTATTCCCAATACAAAAGTGACAGGTCTGAAGGACTTCATTCTGGATATATATCCACTGAAATCTGTAGGTAGCACCATTTTTACTGAATTCTGGGAAACTTTGTTTAAATGTAAATATACGATGCGAAATGACTCAGAAGACATAACAGTGTGCACAGGTAGAGAGAACCTGTCAGAAATGGAAAACGCCTTCACAGACATGACACTAATGCCTGTTTTCTGCAATGTGTATAAAGGAGTATATGCTGTTGCCCATACCTTACACAACCTTCTTGGCTGCACACAGACATGCCCTACAAAGAAGCAGCCTGATCCTCTCACTGTAAGTCAAAAAAAAGTATAGACTTTAAAGCTTTGTTACATGTGTGTTCACTAATTCAGAAAAATCAGTAAAATGCTGTATTTTTTGGGAGAAGTGTTAAGTTCTTAAAATATTGTTAAAATGTTGTAACTAATTTCATCAGTTTCTAGAACATCTGAAAAGGGTGCACTTCAAAACCAAAGAAGGCGAAGAGGTTTATTTTGATAAAAATGGTGACCCTGTGGCTAAATATGAAATAATAAATTTGCAAACTATTGAAGATCACCATGAGTTTGTCACTGTAGGACTTTATGACTTTTCTCTCCCGGCTCACAATCAATTAGCAGTAAATGCAGCCTCTATTGTGTGGGCACAAAATACAAATCAGGTGATTCTGGTGATAGTTGATTACTAACAATGTTTTGTTTAGGGTTAGGTTTAGGGTTAGGGATAGATTTGATAAAATCTTCCACACACAACTTCAAGTTCAGTTGCATTTAATAGATATTTAGTTGAATGTTCCTCATATATATTATATATAAGATATACTGAGCACCTAAAAAGCATCTAGAGTGGACCATCCAAATAAAGTGTTAACTAAAATTGCACGTTGGTCTCAACAAAGTATGCAAACTTTGTATAATGTTTGAATAATATGTATGAAATACAGTTTTTTAAGGGGATATTAAACATTTGTTTTGATCATAGGTGCCGGTGTCTGTGTGCAGTGAGAGCTGCCCTCCAGGAACCAGGAAGGCTGTGCAGAAAGGGAAGCCTATCTGCTGTTTTGACTGTATACCATGTGCTGAAGGAGAGATCAGTAATATGACAGGTACAAACATTCATAAAAGCTGAAACAAACAAAGTATCTTTGGTATTACTGCAACAATTACAAAATATTGTACAATGTTTGTGATAATTAAGTGTAAACTGATTAAAGTCTAAAAGTTTTTCCTCCATATTTTAGACACAGAACAGAATGACAGCAAAATACGTAACGCATTCCTTCAGTTACTTTCTGTGTGCAGCAAACCTGATATTTATGTTATTTATTTCTCTCTGACAGACTCGATTAAATGTGAACAATGCTACCAAGACTACTGGTCAAATCAACACAGGAATGAATGTGTGAAGAAGGAAATTGAGTTCTTGTCGTATGAGGAAACAATGGGAATTTTGCTAACAGCTGTTTCAATTATTGGTACAGTTCTGACAATAATAATAGCAATTATATTCTTCAGACATAAAAAAACCCCAATAGTCAAAGCCAATAACTCAGAGCTGAGTTTCTTATTGCTCTTCTCTCTGGCTCTGTGTTTCCTCTGTTCACTTACTTTCATTGGTCGGCCCTCTGAGTGGTCCTGTGTGCTGCGCCACACAGTGTTTGGGATCACCTTCGTCCTCTGCATCTCCTGTGTTCTGGGGAAAACAGTAGTGGTGTTAATGGCCTTCAGAGCTACACTTCCAGGCAGTAATGTCATGAAATGGTTTGGGCCTCCACAGCAGAGACTCAGTGTTCTCACCTTCACTCTCATACAGGTCCTAATTTGTGTCCTTTGGTTAACAACATCCCCTCCTTTCCCCGTCAAAAATCTAAAGCACTACAAGGAAAAGATCATTCTAGAATGTCAGTTAGGTTCAGCAGTAGGTTTCTGGGCTGTGCTGGGTTACATAGGACTTTTGGCTCTACTGTGTTTTGTTTTAGCTTTTTTGGCTCGGAAGCTGCCTGATAAGTTTAACGAAGCCAAGTTCATCACATTCAGCATGCTCATATTCTGTGCAGTTTGGATCACCTTCATCCCAGCTTATGTCAGCTCTCCTGGAAAGTTCACTGTAGCTGTGGAGATATTTGCTATTTTGGCCTCAAGCTTTGGTTTGCTGTTCTGTATCTTTCTTCCAAAGTGTTACATAATCATACTAAAACCAGAAAAAAACACAAAAAAGCAAATCATGGGTAAAGTTCCACTTAAGTGAGCTGGAGGTTCACCATTAATATGGCTTTACATAAAGCACATGACCCTAACTCTATTCTTAATTATTTTTTTTTTTTTACCATTTTAAAACTTATTAAATGGTACTTACTTTAAAAATTATCTTAAATGAGAATAAATAACACTGATATTTACAAATATCTGCGTAATTTTAATAAGTTTAATTTGATGTAAACTTTTTGGAAAACTTAATGATTCATTTTTTTTTTTCATAATAATGGTTGTTGGATCAAGGGTCACAGTGTCTACAACAAAAATATAACCTCTATATGATATGCACAAGTGATGCATTTTAGTTGTATTAAATGAATTCACATAAAATTTACTTTTTATAATGTGTATATTTTGAGATATTTAACAAAAAAATTGAAAGAATAAATCTTATGTTATTTATTAAGTGTTTGTCTTTGTTAAAAAAAAAAAAACTATACACACATACTAAAAAAGAAAGTCAATTTTCCTGTGATCTATTCTTTTTGGTTTCGAAACTAATGTTGAGTTTCAATGCACTTTAAAGTATTGTATGGAAGTTGGAAATTTCAGTTTAGTCACAAAACTAGAGGGTCCAAAAAAGAAACTATAACAGATGACTATTTCAGGCTTTGCAGGGTAACTTGCAGTTGTGCAAAACACCAGATTTCAGCAGGTTTATTTCCTCCTGACTCATTAATGCAACTCCTTTCATATATAATCATACATAGTGCTGCTTTAAATAACATAGTGGTCATCTTTTATACAACTTTCAGGAGCTCTGGAGCAATCCTGTATAGGCAAAGGCACACTAAACAGGACAGAATCTGACACAGTTCTGCGTTTGGTAAAACAGGCTAGCATAGACGGCTAGTGGTGCTGCATCTTTTAATCCAGTATGTGTTGCAGAACCTTCCAGTTTTCACAGTCCTTGATCTTTGCAATAGAAGAGATTAACAACGGTTCCTCTCTACTCCCTGGTGTCACAGTGGGCTACAAGATCTATGCCATATACAGTTCCACATCTATGGGGTTTGAATAGCTATGACACTTGTTAATGGAAATGTGAACTCAATATTGCATGAGCAATACACAAACCCAGTCCAGGTGCAACCCATAATTGGTGAGACATACTCATCAGTATCAGTGGAATTTTATCAATATCATACTACTAGGTAAAATCATTTCTGAACTTACGTAAATGTTAAAGGCAGTTAACATCTGGCATAAAAACTACGATTGAGCATAATCCCTAACATACCTGTATGACAAAAGAAAATACCCCTTATTTTTGCACACTGTTCCCAGTGATTACTTCAAGAGCAGAGCACTGGTAGAGATGGTCAAGCACTATGTCTGGACATGGGTGGGCGCAGTCAGAAGAGATGATGACTATGATAACAGAGAGATGATAGCATCTACTGAAGCTACAGAACAGTTGGGCATGTGCTTCGAATATTTCTTTCCATTGTTTAGAACCAAGAAAGACAGCACAAGAAAAAGTGCTGACAATAATCCAGCAGATCAAAATCTCTACTTCCTGAGTGACTGTGGCATTTGTCACTCACCAGGAGTTTCAGATTCTGTATGTGTATTATAATGTATTTTATGAGCACAACATCACTGGATACCAGTGGGTGGGAACAGAAGGTTGGATCTCTGATTCAACTGTAGCCAGACTGGACAAGTATAAAATACTGCATGGAGCCAAAACAACAGTGACAGGTCTGAAGGACTTCAATGTGGATATAAATTCACTGAAATCTCCAGGCAGTGGCATTTTTACTGAATTCTAGGAGGCTTTGTTTAAGTGCAAATATACAGCACAGAATGCTGCATAACATTTTGCACAGGAAAAGAGAAACTGTCTGAAAAGGAAAACTCAGACATGTCTCTGATCCCCTTTTTCAGTAGTGTGTAAAAAAGAGTATATGATGTTGTCCATAGCCTACACAATTTTCTTGGCCAAGAAACAGCCTAATTCTCTCACTTTAAAAAAGTTAAAAGTCTGTTTAATACAAATCTCAAAGCTTAAGCAGTCCTAACTCAGAAATATCAGGCCCTGCAGAGTTGTTTTTTTTTAAATCTGTGAAAAATAAATATTTTAGCAAACAACTTTATATATATATATTCAGTTACATTATTTTTTTCTCCAAAAATGACATCAAAAGGAGTGTTTTGTATTTTCTTTTTTCTCTGTCACCTTTTACCATTCTGCTGTGTGGGTGTGGTCAACAGTGGATTGATTGACACCTTCTGTGTCAAGCGTAACTGCCTGGATAGGCGGGCACAAGCAGACTGTAAAAGCTGCTCCACAGGTGGAACAAGAAAATCTGAACAAGAAGCTTGTGAGTTAAAAGCTGACTTCAGCTTTTTGTTAATATTATAGTTGAAATGCAAAACAAAGAGAAATCTGACCATAAACCGCCAAGAAGCTGCTACAAGGCTGTGATTTTAAGGTTAGGGTTAGGTTCTTGTTCGGAATCTCCCTTTTCACGTTCATACAAGTGAGGCCGTGTTTATGGGATCCGATTTCCAGCTTGGGCCATACTGAGGTGCTTGTGCATTTGATTTTTCTTTGTTACCAGCTAATCGAAGGTTTTGCATTTCAATTATATTGTTAACACAAAGCTGAAGTCAGCTTCTATTTCACCAGCTTCTCATTCAAATTTTCCCGTTTAACCTTAAATGGTGCAATAACTTATGCAACATTTAAGGTAGAACAGGAAATGTAAATTTGTATCTCCAAAATGATTTGAATTCTAGCTCAATGGAAATTATACTGGAATGTTATCTCCCTTTTTTGGGGGGTGCAGATGCCCTACAACGGGAGAAAGGCTGTTAGGGGTCTCAGATACTGTCGGAATCCGCAGCATGATTAAATAGAGGCTAATTCAGATTCTCTGGTTACACTAAATTAGAGGACACCACAGTTCATATTTTAAGAGCGTAAGAATGTAAAATTTCTTACATTTTGGCCATTTTTACATTATTTTATTCAGAGAATTAGATTAGCCACTTTTTAATCACACTGTCTCCAAGAGGTGTCGAGAAAGCTGTTTCTATCAGCTTGTAGGGCTGACAAATCTGGAGCAGTAACGAGCACAATTTTCAAATGAGTTGGCAATAACAAACTCTTGCTACAAACTATTGTACTGCATGTCACAAAAATTGAGCCATTTTGATTTAGTCTAGTTATTTGGAACAGAATGTAGAGAGTGAACACTCTCCCTCCTGCATCCGAAAACCAGGCATTTGTACTTGAGTGCCATCTCCTTGTAGCTATGACGTTACTCAAGTAGAGTGTTGCGGAGCATGTGAAGTGTGCGAGGGTCAGGTGATTTCACAGTTTATGAATATGCACTATAAGGTAGCTTATGATTCACAATAGTCAATTAGAGTTATCTGTGATGTCTGAGATCACACCAAATAAAGTGTAATTCCTAAACGGTGGTTAGTAACACTACACAAAGAAATAAAAAAAAAAATGAGGTTGTGCAACCCGCAGTGCCCAATAAATGTTGGACAGATGCGGAAGTATGAAGGTAATCACATATTTCCTGCTAATATAAAATTTTGAGCAAGGAGGAGAAACACTGTTCTTGGCCTTTAAGCTCTTTCAGATGTTGTAACAAACTTTAAATTTCATCAGTTTCTAAACCATCTGAAAATGGTGTACTTCATAAACAAAAATGTAGAAGAGGTTTATTTGGATAAAAATGGTGACACTGTTGCTAAAAATTAATAAATAAACAGGCGAACTGTTAAAGACTACCATGAGTTTATATGGGTGAAGTGCCAGTTAAGTGGGCTGAACATTCACTGTTCATATGTCCTTTTATAAAGCACATGGTCCCATTTAAATCATATTGTTTTAAAGGAATATACTATCAATTTTTGAAAATGTCTGCATTATTCAAACTTAGATGGGCACAGGCACAGGCTTGCTGGTTAGGACAGGATATAACACAAGTGTGCGGTCAGTGAAAACGGTTAGCACAGAAGGCTAGTGGTGCTGCATGGGAGGCAGTAGGAATAAACAAAGCACATGGCTGGCCACAGTGAAACACAAAAAACCTTAAATCACTCACTCAGTTTAGTCCACTTTCTTTTTCTTTTACACACTGACTTTCTGCATCCTTACATGGCAAAGTCTTCCATGATGCCAGGTGTCAAAACAAAGACTTCAGTTAAACATTCTGAGAGGTACTAGTCCAAGAGGTTTGCATCCTTTTCAATCAATGAGCTTGATTGTTTAATCCATGTTCAGTAAACATATACAATGCAAGGCCTCGGTACACTTCTTGCAGACACAACATTTGCCTAGATTCGGCGAACAATGTGACATAATTGCAGAGAAAACGAACAGCCACAGATGTCTCACAAAGGCTTCGCTCACCGTGTGGTGTACATGTCAGCTGGGCGAACTCTGCAGACAAAGACACTACACGACAAAGCCTAAACTACTAGAACAAAGCCAAAAAACTATTGGTCGGTAAAAAAAGAGGCATGCCATAAAACATAGATGGATGACTTTGAAGAGTTTCTTTTCACAAGAAGTATGCTGATTGATTCGGCGGAGACAACAACATTTCACTGTTGTACGCGCATTTGTTAAATAAACAATGAATACTTAAATGTAAGATGTTAAATCTGGTATTCGGTAGTACAAACATGCAGCAAAACATATGGTTTATCATATATTTTGATTGACGGGAGAACAAGGCTGAAGTTGGCTTAATATTTGCCAGAATGTTGTTGTGAATTTTCCAGTTGTTGGAATTTTGCAGCATGCTGACTAGTACATTGCCATTGTCAAATATTATACATAAGATAAATCCTCTACAACTGTGCTAAAATCATTTTCCAGTTGTCATGGAACTTATCATAAGTGGAGCATACGCAACAGGCAAAGCAAAACAGCAGAAATTAAGCAAGCTCGTGAAGTCGCAAAGGAGCTTTCAGCTTCAAGCAACCCTCGTAAATTTCATTTCGCAAGAAATATGCTAAGCA